GAGAATGTTACATACGGGGCCAGTTCGATGTGGCCTAGTAAATTGTATATCAGTATACCTTTCCAGGCTCTGAAGGAGGCTGTACTGCCAAAACGTCAGCTAGTGTTGTATTGTATTGTGTTTTTCTATGGAAGTAAATCTATGCTGTATAACAACCTCACGATTGCTGAACAAGAAAACGACGCATTCATATTCCAATGCCGAGGATAAGAGAAAGTCGATCCTGCGAACAGTAATATCATCGGCGGAGATAGTTCATTCGAGGAATAGACCACCATTATCGCCGCATTTGCAAACTTTAGAGTGGAAGTCTAACTCATGGACAATGAGCAAAGGCAACAGTAACCGGCTTATCGAACGTTCCCAAAACGTAGCCCACGGCCAGGGTCGACCCGCAGTCTTCTGATTAAAAGTATCGAGCGACTAGTGACGTATCGAGCCAGTACTGCTATCCTCCCAGACAAGTCTGGCACCAATTTGCCGAGCCCGGATGGATGGAAAGCTTGGTGGGCCATGGGCACCGGGATCGATTCCACGTGTGTGTTGCAGGACGCCTCCGACCACTGCTCCACACGTGCCCTCATTTTATTCTATATATGCATTCATATATATGGAATATCTCAGCATCGTTGTGGTTGATTTTATATAATACCGTTCTACGAAAATTGTAGTAGGCAGTAAATAAAAAAGTAAAACATTGTAATTTTGACTGCCACTTCAGCGTAACTGGATCCAATATACCAAGGGAAGTTCGTAGTAACCATTTGGTGGTGTTCAACTGTTCTGATCTATAACAGCTTCCTGAAACCGAATGATATGATCACGGCGCAAAAGTTGGTCCATCAATCGGCGAAATCTATCGAGAGCTTCAAAGGTTGCACTTTCATTGGTCAACAGAAAGGCACTAGTCCTTTTCTGCTCTAACAAGTGGAAACACGAAGTTGAACGAGAAGGACTACGAAACTCTGCCTTATCCACCTTAATCGCCAAACATTTCACCTACCTATTACCACTTCTTCAAGCTTTTCGAGGGATTTATGGGCGATTAATATTTCAGAAACCAAGCCGAGGCTGATGATGCCTTCGGTGATTTCGTTGTCTCCAGAAGTCTAAATTTTTTTTGCAAATGGATCAAATGAACTTGTTTCTGTTTGACAAGAATGTGAAGATTTCAGCAGTGGTTGTTTTGATTAATATAGTTTATTCTGGGCTTGTAAATGCCACCTTAAAAATCCAGATTAACATCGGAAATTAATTTCCGAATGGAATAATTGATGTCATAGCCTCGATGGTAGTTCAGCGATTCTCATTTGATATTATTTAACGCGGTTTTTCTCAGCTATTGTTGAACCCCGACCCCGGCTGGATGGAAGGCTTTCGGTTCCACATGTGTGTTGCAGGGCGCATGAGAGCACTGCACCACACGCGTCCTGAAACACACGTGGAATCGATCTCCGCGCTCATGGCCCACCAAGCCTTCCATCTCTTCACGGTCGGCAAATTGGTGTCAGACTTGTCTGGGAGGATAGTAGCACTCGCTCGATACATCGCTAGCCCACCGCGAGTCATTGTAAAGGCCAGATATGAATTCAATCACCGATGATTAATGAAGTGGAATGCATGGCGCACCCCTCAGGGATTGATCAACGTCGAGAGCTTTATCTTTTTTATTGCTGAAAAGCAGTGCCAAATCTAGATAAAATGGATGATCGCCGCTGAAGTTGAATTAACTAAAATAAGTCAAATACGTCGTAGTGGCAGCTAGCCACGGGTTTTACCCTATGCCATTTGCAATTTTTGTGTACATTTTTATGTTCCTTACTTGGTTTTATTGCAAACTGTAATGACGGCTGTGTAAGCAGTTTTGACGATGATCAATAATCAATATGTATGTTCACTAGAGCGTTATCGTTCGAAAATTGAGAAAACATTGCATTATTTTTATTGATTCGTTCGAAATTATGGGATGCAGTTGTCGATTCATCTATTTTTAGGCTGTGGTGCTCATTACACAGAATCCTCTGGAAATCTTACGTTTCCTAGTGATGCTGATAAGATTGACGAAGATGGCTGTGACCTCGTCATAGCGACTGAAAAGGAAAACTCGGTATGACTCTTTAATCGTTAAGGTCATCATCTCTAATCTCTCTAATGTGCGATTTGTTTCGCCAAACTGTCCAGTCTCCCAATGCACACCAGAACGTCCGAGTGGGCCCCACTCACTTGAAAGACCTGGAGAAACCTGATATTCACTAATTGTCCTAATGTAGACGTGCAACTTATTTGTTTGGATGAGCGCTAACCTTCACTGCTTTGTTTTCCAATTACTTGATGGAAAGACTGTTGAACGAACTAACGACTTATATGTAGTTCACATGCATGCGATTGCATCCATGAATCCGTACATGAATATGGTTTCATACATGCGGAAAGTGTATAGCAATTATGTGCTTCAGATAGAGGGATTCAACTCCTTGATTGCATCTGCTTCTCAAAGCGATTTTGGTGTTCATCGTTTTTTTCCTCTCCTGAGCCACTGTAGATAACACCGAGGCTGGATCATATGATGGGTACTGCGGAATTTCTTTGGCTTTGAGACCAAAGTCTTGAAAACCACATACAAAAAATCTACTTTTTCTACGTATTTCTGTACAATTTAAGCACTAATTTATTAAAACGAAAATGAATTCGCTATTCTCTGATGCTCAAGAAAGACAAATCATTTGGAAAAAAAGGGCTTTTGGTGTGAAGGGAGAATTGCTCCATGCGCAATGTATGAGACACCAATTCTGCCTTTTACGTAACCTGTCTTCACACTTACGGCACGGATTTCACTGCTTTTGCATTATATTCGCCTCCTGGCGTCCTTCCCACTAAACTCTTTGAATTTCTCCGCGTGGACTCCGCTGCTGCTTGAGGACTTTCTTTTCGTAATGAATGTCGTTGAATGCTGGTCGAGTTGATTCTATATGGAGACCTGGGATACCAATGCTAGGCCATTTCCACGTGGATTAAGGAGTGTAAGCGAACCTCGGCATCTCTGATACCGATTTCACACCACGGAGGAATTGAAACGTTGGTGAGCTAGAGCTGGGGTCAAACTCGCATACTCACTGTGATGAATGGAATCACCACCACTACCATACCCGCTCTTCGTGCTTCTTCTTTCTAATGTTTACCATTTCACTCTGCTCAACATAATAATTCGTTTTGAAAAGTGATATTACATGAAAGGTGCGGATTTCACTCTGTGAAAAATAAAGTAGAGACGTTGATAAGAGTTTCATCAAAAGTGGTAATTGAAGGCTCTTCGTATCACTTTCACTGCATTCAAAGTTGTGTGGAACTTCGGATCTTCGGATTGCTCAAAGACAAATCTGACGCTGTTTGACGGTTCTGCCGACAATTCACCAATTTTCGCCATCTTTTGCCAAGAGGTGAGTCATCTTCAGTAGAAGGTAACTGACCTTTGTCATTCCCATGATTTTTCATGGATTTTTTTTCATTTCACTACAGCTCCATTTAACTCTCTGTTCACTCTAAGACCCAGTTCCGTTTAATTTCTTTTGTTTCAATATGACGGTCTACTTCCAAATTTTTTGTTGAGAGTCTGAAAAAAACTCCCGCTTAGTTAATAGTTGGCTTGTCAGATAAAGTCTTTCTACTTAAAGGTCTGAGACAGGTGTACTTAGGTATTCCTAGGTTTTCGTGGCTCTCGAAGGTCGGAAAGACATTCCTGCTCATAGGACTGATTTCCTGCCAAACAATGGCCATTCTTGACATGGTTTTTCTTCTTGTGTTGCCCATAGTTGAGAATGTTGAACTGTTTTCAATATGAGGATTTTACTACTGAGTTAAAATCTTGTCTATATGTCAGTCCAACAATGGTCTCTACACTAATAAAGGAACTTTGGTTTAAGTGGTTGAGCACATGGGACGTTAGTGGAATATCTCTTAATATTGTGTATTTTGGCAAAACTTGGGAACCTTTTCATTTTCGTTGAAACCTTTGAGGCCGATTTTCGTTTAAGAAATTAGAAAGTCGTTATTCTTCGCTACGTTCGCGTTTTACCTAAGAAATAATAAGGCTTCCATTTTTTAAAAGTCGCTGAAATCCTTTTATTTATAAAAAAGGCTTTCGGCGTTGACCAATCCCTGAGGGATGCGCCATGCATTCGACTTCATTAAGCAACGTTTGGAGATGATTAAATGCATATCTGGTCTCTACAATGACTCGCGGTGGCCTATCGATGTATCGAGCCAGTGCTGCTATCCTCCCAGACAAGTCTGGTACCAATTTGCCGACACCGGAGGGATGAAAGACTTGGTGGGCCGTAGGCGTAGTAATCGATTTCACGTGTGTGTGTTGCAGAGCGCCTCCGACCACTGCGCCACACGCACTCTTCTATTTATAGGTAACAAAGTCGCTCTCTTTCCTAAGAATTGGATTAACTCATGGTCAGCTAAATGCTTTAATATACCGAAACGGTACTGTAAATTTGTAAATTGCAGGTGCCTGTGATTGGCGAAGCGATAACGATGACGTCAACAAGTGCATTGTTTCGCTATAAAGGAACAGGCCTATCATTTTCATTGAAATGGGAAACTAAAAAGAGAGGCTAGTCGCTAATGCTTTGATTGATGTAAAAAATTAACGTCATAATTTTTAAAGTTTAAGTAATATTGTCTAGTTCGAACTATCAGCTTATAATTTATCAGGAACTTTGCACAATAGGTCAAACTGAACTAGCACGAACCCATTGGAACTTCTTTCTGCAGATGCAGAACAGTCAATATGCACTTTTTTCGGAATCAATTCCATAGTTCCTTTCTTCGTTTGTTTTCCATGATATGTTTTTTAAAACTACTAAGCTTTTATTTTGATAGCTGACCTATCGGATATGCGAAGTAATGGGTACGAAAATATAATTTGAGATGTTTTATAACATGGGCCATTAGTTTACACAACTTTTTCTTCCATGAATTTTAGCCCAACACGGTGTCCTGAGCCTGTTTTCAACCAATATTATTAGGATATTGCCAATACCCGCAATAAATATGTTTCATTAACCAGGATTTTTCTTCAGAGTGCGGGTACCGTACGAATTTGGCATCGGGATTGCTTGTGGTACCACCACATCATCTGGACACCTCTTGTGATTGGTTCATTTCGGCACCAATGGACAAGCATATCGAAATCGAAATACCCACTATTGAAATGACTACCGGAGGATTGATGAACTGCAGTGTGAATCAGTTAGAAGTGAGATGAGATTTATGCTCTATGATGAAACTTAAAATCCTGTAAGCGTCCATTCCTCATGCGGGTTAAAAAATCGGTTTCCTGTCAATGCATAAATTTTGAACAAAAAGCGAGCAGAAATAAAACGCTACAAGTGAATTTAATTTAATGAGAAAGAAATTTCGCTCTAGCATTCTAAAAGAACGGCCCTCCGCTATTGGCTGCTACCACGTGGGGAGTGACGACCGCGATGGCTTCGCAGCCAATCAGCAGCGACTACGCACAACGAGTGCCGTCACTTTCTTCACTAATTGTCGATCGTTTACGAAATTTCGTTCGTTTTTAAGGTTTACGACGGTTATACTTCATATGATTCACATCGTATTCTTCACATTTGCCAAACAACGAATGTTACTACGCAGGTGATAACATCTATGTTTTTCTTCTATACTTAGTTAGCTGATACTTGATGCCTAAACGATCCGTCTTCACTGGCTGTGCGGGTCTCAGCATAATCACTACTCTTCAGTGATTTGCTGGTTAAGCCCTGGAATCCCGAGGTCGGCTTGGCCAAAGTCTGTCCCAGGTTTTCACCACCACAGGCAGTCGCAGCCCTTGTGGATCAGAGGGAGTTTTTTCACCATGCGACTTTGTTACCAGAACGGTAGTGGATACTGGTATTAGTTTACTCTGAGCTAGGTTTCCTGATAAAGACGCGTGACTCCTTCTCAGCTTGAGAGACCCTGCCGGAGGATGAATCCCCCGCTGTACATCGCAGTCCGACATCCAGGAACACCTCCCATCCATGATGAGGCAGTAAACCGTTGGGAGGTTTCTTCTATACTACTGTTAAAAAATTACTTGTATTAAGCGCTGTCCGTTTGTTACAGTCCTTCTACTATCATAGTTATTCGGAGTAGCTAAACGGAAAAAGGACACACCGCTGAATTTTCAGCCTTATGAAAAAAGTTTGGTTGAAAATAAATCAATTAAAAAGTCTTGCAATCAATAGCCAAGTATTTTATGGACCGTATACGGTATCAGCCTCGTATTTTGGAAGACTCTGTGTTTTAAAATCGGTGTTAAAAGTGACTTAATATATAAGTGGATTAATATTGAATGAAGTTGCTATACTGCTTGTAGGTTCGTACAACTGGGCCGTTCATGACGATCTCCTTCAGAAATAATGTACTAGGCGGCTCGAAAAGTCCTCTACAACGAGGATTCGTAATGAAGTATAAAACCATTGAACGTGAGACTTCCTCCATTCATTTTCATATTTCTGCCCTCTTGGTTTTTGTCCTTCAATTTAGATGGATCATTTAATAGATCACCTACGCTTCCAAACGTTTACATTGAGCACACATTCACAACTGAAATGGAAAGAGCAGTGTTAGAGATGCCATACAATATATGCATTGTCGTCTATTCATTCTTTCACGGATCAGACAAGCCTCTTATTCCTACGTTGTTGGTAAAATCGCACCAGAATTATCTGTAAACAACTTTCGATCGGTGACATTTGGTGATGGCCCATGGTGAATGTCTCAAGAGTAGCTGAACCGACGCAAGCAACGAGCCTTTTGTCTATGACGGATGCAGGACACTAAATGAATGAAAGAAGTACTGATACAAACACATTATTTTATGTCGGATTACACAAATATATAAAACGTGCTAGTATACATCCTACCACTGATGTCCTGCCTGATACAAATGAGCCAGCTAACAGATATGCGTACTCGTTCAAATACTTACAAAATTATATATGGGACTAGAACATCAGTAACAGGTTAACTGAACCGAACAGCTTCTATTCTACCCCTAGCCTTCAAGGGTAGTTCATACGCTGGGCAACGGGCGACGATAACTCCACGTCGCCGACGATTCAAGACGAGAAGGAAATATTCAGCTAATTTTCACCTCATTTGACAACGGTGAAATGGAATGTGTGGAAAAAAAACCGAACTGGTTATGAAATTCCGTTTTTTGCTGGAAATAATCACCTTCCCAACTTTTGAATAGGTTCTAACTATTTTTTTCTATTTTAGCCGATCATAGATGTGGTGGCGATATCACAAACGTTGATGGCGATTGGAGATTCGCTGGCATCATTGAGAGTCCTAATTATGGTGGATTTTATCCACCGAATATGGACTGTTCATGGAGACTTGATGCCATCGGCTCAGAGAACTCGTCCGCTTCTGGTCAAACGCTTAAGGTTAGGGGATGGAGCCAGTAACATTAAAATGGTGTACATGTTCTTCAACATAAAACTTCATTTCACCTATTGTTTATTTAGTATGTCGGTATTGGTGCATTTACTGGTTTTGATCACTAATGCAATGCGTTCAGAAACAGAATGACCCAGAGGATTTGTATTTTGTTGTTTAATTACCGTATTCTCCGTAGTAACACTTATTACTCGTTCTTCATAAGTCTGTCGAAGCTTACAGTATCTTCCGTTTCAGCTCGAATTTCTCTCATTCGATGTGCCATCGTCGTATCAATTCTCGTCTGCTTTATGGCAACAGCATTTGGATATTCCCAGAAGAGCGTTCAATCTTTTCGCTAATCTCGGTCGTTCGTTATTCAGTTTGATTTTCTACTCAGTATTAAGGAATTGTCGTATTGTTAAGAATAACTATTGTTGAATAGAGTGATTCTCAACAACGCTCGATTCCGCCTTGCTGTAATGTATATGAAAAAGTGTCTGCCGCTGTAAGAGTCTAGCTTCAGGTCGGTTCGGAATGATGTCACCATTTCGTCGTCGTGAGCCGCTAATACCATTTCGTAGGGAGTCGGTCTATCAGTGTGCTGAAGACTATCTACAGGTTGGAAATAGATGTGATGCATAAAGGGTTTTGTCTGAGAAGATGAAGGTCAATCGCATTAGCTGATCCTCTATAACGAAAGGATTTAATGAAAGTTGCAGGCTACACAATAGCCCTTGTAGAGAATTTCGTGTTGAGGAAAATCTTGCTGTGATGATTTGTAGTATTGGAAATGTAGGTGTACGCCGACGGTCAGCTAGTGCACGACGGTTGTAATCCACATCGTCCACCACCGACTATGTTAATGTTGATTCCACAAGTGGTGCTTCGTTTTCATTCGGACGGCAGCCAACAAGGCAAAGGATTTCAAATAGCGTACAGTTTAGGTAGGCTGATAGTATCAATCACATGAATGGTTTAGTGCGTATGAAACCAATGTCTGACCAACGAACCTTGATTTCAGAGAGATTTCTTCATTTTCATTCAAAGAAACTTTGTCGATTAACTGACATTTTGATTCAGTAGGCAAAGGAGTCAACGACAAAAAAAGAACGATAAAAAAAATGACGAAACGACAATAGAATAGAAACTGGGTTTTCAATGCTGATGTGGGCTTCCCAGATTAGTCTTGTTGACGGGTGATTGTGATGACACTGTTCGATAGAAAACTAGCTGAGAGACAGGCGAAACGAAGGACCCGCATGTTGCGGTGATGAACGCGATAGGCCCCGTAAAGGGTAATGACGCGCTTCGTTCCCCTGCGCAGACACCTACGGTCCGGAGTTTTGCAAGTATCTCAGCATCATTAAAGTTATATTTTGCAGCATACCCTTTTATTAGAAAGAGTAGGTAGTAAATAATAGGTTAAAATTGTCAAACAACTGTTGCACTTTCACTTACTGATCAACGGGAAAAAAGCATATTTTTCGAGTATTAGAAAGTTAGAGGCTGTTGTTAAGGTTTCGTTATTTAAACACAGCTGTTAAGGTTTTCTCATTCAGCACAGATTGTTTTCCTCAATGAATAGTAACAATTCCATTCATAATTTATATTTTATAGTAGTTGCTGTTCTTAATGCTAAATCTAACGTGGTACTAGAGTTAATACTTACACTTCGTATGTGATTATTGCGTCCGTTTGTAATATCACCGGTTTAAGTACTATTTTTCCAAAAAAAGGAAAAAGTCAGGAAAAGAAGGGGCTGGATTTCTGAGAGCGATCAACGCTGCTATAAAGTTATTGCTATCTTCAGTCTGCGAGAAGACGTTATTTGGAAACGGTACGATTCAAACGTGGAACTATCCTAGTGGTGGACCAGCAGGCAAATGCGTTTACACGATACGAGCAGAAGCAAGTCATGCCATCAAACTTAAGTACGGTATCTCGTAATTATTATATGATTATATGAAAAAAGACAACACGGATACAGTGCGCAAATTTGGGCTACCGAATGAATTGTTGGCCATAGAGTTAATGATAGATTACGTGAAGTATCTGAGGATACAAATCACAAGTGACAGAATTATAATAAAGGATAAAGGATAAAGCTCTCGGCGTTAATGAGTCCTTGAGGCCTATGCATTCGACTTCATCAAGCAACATTAGAGTTGATTGAATCCATACCTAGCCTTTACAATACATTGCAGTAGTCAACCGCTTTATCAAATCAGTGCTGGCATCCTCTCAGACAGGTCTGCTACCAATCTGCCGACCCCAAATGGATGGAGAGGTTAAGTGACCTGGGCACGGGATCGAATCGAAAACCGATTTTTTATGCATTTCAGGGTCTAATCACTGCGTTGCACACTCCACATAAAATTATAACAGATTGTTCTGCTTTAAAGCTTGGTAATAGAAAATCTTTAGATTCAAAACTATCGGATTGCGTACTGCAACGACATCACAGTGCTTTTACAATCGAGATTCTTACGAGACTATAGCGGATTACGTGGAGGTAAAGTAACGCTACTATAAAGCTTTAAGAACGAGATGCTACTTAATCGCTTTGGTTTGCTGCCATTTTCAATCTTGATTGGATTGAACTGATTTCGTGAAGTTGGTGTGATTTCTAGAAAATTAGGCAGTAAATCATTACTGGTCATAATCCTTGTTCGTACTTTTCAAATCAGCTAAGTTTTTGAACTGATGCGAGGTTGGTATAGGTCTGATTAAGGAGATCAGTTTATAAGGCCATGTCGATAAATATATCAACTATCTATGCCGAGGTTTGTAGAAAGTCGGTCATTTGAGTTATTAAGTGTTTGAAGTTGGAGAATTAAGAAAATGTTGACAGCAAAGAGAAACGTGCTTTTATTACAATAAATAGTTATTCAGAGCTTCAAAGCTGTACGGTCAAATGGTGATATCATACTTTTATTGTAGTGGTGCTGGCAAGAGAATAACTTCCTTTGAATGATTTTCCACATCAGAGTGGCAAGTCGAAATCTCTTGATTCCGAAATGCATTGTAAAACAGGGATTTTGTTTCTCGGTCTTGTCAGCCATGCTGAGAATATGTCGGAAATTTCTATTCGGAGGATCAATAATGATTTCTGCCGTCCTGGAATTCTAGTCGAAGTGTAACAAATCCTATTCCAACCCACAAGAGCCAGCAATCATTCGTAATGACATGATCTGCCGAATGATTGAGGAAATGTGGTGAATTATCCAAAATAACCACAATGATGCTAAGATATTTGCAAAAGTTGGACCCCAGGCCCAGATCGGGATGCGGTTACCTTTTCCTTTTACATTACGATTTCGAGTACAGCCTTAGCTCAACTAGGTTTAATTCCGATTTGTGCTTCCCAGATCATTTCCGCTCACGAGTGGTTGCTGACGGTACCGTTGGTGTAAAAGACTGGCTGAGAGAAAGGCAGAACGAGGACCTCAATGGTGCTGTACGTAAAACCTGATTCGCCAGAAAGGGCAGTCGCAGTTCGATCTGGCTTGGTGTACAAGTTTTGCGAATATTTCAGCATCACTGTGGTTGTATTTCATATAATACCCCGCCGTGAAAAAATAAAAGGCAGTAGATAAAAGCTACACATTGGGCGAAATAAGTAAGAATAATTTGGTAAAATAATGGATTTTAGTTTTCTGGCGGAAAAGATGAGGACAAACAAATCAATCAACGCTACATATGCGCTCGTTATCCATTTGTCGAGGAAGGAGAGTTTATTATGAGTGCGACGCGACCATTAGTTATCACCTACGTTAGCAGTGGTGATGAAAAGAATCGTGGTCTCCTGATGGAATATACAACCATCGACGTCGGTGCGTTATGTTTTTTTATAAAGCGTTCTCGATTTGAGTTTTGATTGAGTTCCGATTATAGGTTGCGGAGGCTTCTACTCGCAACCTACGGGAACAATCAGTTCTCCAAACTATCCGGACAAGTATCTTCCACATATGCATTGTGTGTATCAGATACAAGTGGCATGGGTAGGATTTTTGTTTTCTTTCGCAAATATTGGAAGAAACCCTTCAAAGAATACAATCCATTCCATCCTTGGATGAACACGTTGTTTCAAAGATTTCTTCGTTACTTAATCATGAAATAGTTTCTAATCAAGGTGTATTCTTTCATTGATAATTGGTAAGCTTGTACGAAGTTGATAAACAAACTTTATTCGGCTAGTGTTTCGATGTTTTCGTCTTCCTCAGAGCCGATAATCCTAGTCGACGTCCACAGTTCCTTCGTACTCTCGATGTGGTGCCTTCGTCGTCGTATCGAGTTGTAAATATTGTTACGTTCTGTGCTAGCTGATAATGAAACCGACTTCAGCAGGACGGATTGACCAAAAAAACAAGTAATTATCACCGGACAATCACCGTCAACAACCATTTGCATAAGAGAGCATCGCTGGGCGAGATTACCCTATTTAAGCGATGTTTCACTGAAGAAGCTCTGACTCTGTGTGACCAACAATGCAATGACACAGGAGAATAAAGTTTATTTATAACTCTCGTGTTCTAGAACTTGTCTACATGCAGAAAAGCAGCCACATAACATTGAAACAAAAAGGCCAGATCGACATCTGGTCCCAGTCCATGTAAAGCCGTACTTAACCTAGAACTTAGTAGGGGTTTCGAAAAACTTAACCGAAGTTGACCTTCATTTCGAAAAAAATCGATTTTTTGCAAAGTTGGGTATTTTTTCAGTTGTGAGACATTTGGGTTGGTGGAGGGTAGTACTTGTCAGGGCGATTCTGGCTCAAGTTGGGTTCCTTTGGCGACCGCATTGTTTAGCTAACCCATCCTTTTAGTAGTGATGGTGTTACTTTGCACACCATCTTACTCCGAACCACACCATTGGGAACAGATAGCACAGTGGTAGTGGTGTCCATTGTCATGAGAATGGTGTTAGTCCGATTACGCTCCGGGCCAACGAAGCCTCCCATCCCTTTGGGATCGAAGAATTAGTACGGGAGTTGTCCTGGAAAGAATCACTCTTTGCAGTCTAATTAGGAGAAGAACGTTCCATCACCGCTATCCCAGACCTCCAGGAAGAATTCCTCGACCACCATTCTACGACTCGTTAAGCAGCAACCGAAGCTACCCGTAAAAGTTCGAAGATCTTCGTGGACAATGGAAGCGAGGAAACGAATCGAAACTGAGAAGTGCTGTGATCCGCACTGTAGATGTGAAAACAGAACTTATAGACTAAAAAAATAAAAACAAAAATTTGAGAACTCGAAAGACCGGCTTTCTATAAACCTCGGCATAGATAGTTGATATATTTATTTATGTGATCTTATAAACTGATCTTCTTAAGCTGACGCGAGGTTGGTACAGATCTTCGTTGTCGTTGTTTTTGATGTTATTGAACGATGGCTGACGTTTCGGCGACTTCGCCTTCCTCAGAGCCTGGACGTACTTTATGTTAGAATACTTTTTATTATTCGGTGGAAAAGAAGGTTAAAGTATTAATGAAGATCAAACTTTCAAATGCGCGTTGATGTTTTTGATTCCTGCGCTAGGATCCCCACATTCACTTCAAAATCATCGCCGTTGTGGTTTTGTGCCCTATGCGTACCTAGAGGGGTGTTTAAACGGATTTTAGCTTTCCCATCTAGATGGTCTTTTATGTGGACACAAAGTGGTCTACCCGTTTTCCCGATATATTCCTCGCCGCATGCATTACATGAGATCAAGTATATTATACCTAAACTCATGCAATCCCAAAGCAAAAAAAACATCAACGCGCAAAACTCTTGAGGCGTTTTGGATAAATTTCAAAAATCCAAAGATAAACCGGAAGGACGAATGCCTCACTATCACGCGTGAACTGGCGCCCTATTTCAAAATGATATTTTGACCCCGGGGCGTGTCTTGCTCGCGAATCCACGTGAACTACGTGTGGGCCAGTCCCGCACGTAACATCACGGTGAGTGGCCTTTCTGTTCAATATGGCGTCTAATTGAAAGTTTGATCTTCATTAATACTTTAACCTTCTTTTCCACCGAATAATAAAAAGTACTCTAACATAAAGTACGTCCAGGCTCTGGGAAAGGCGAAGTCGCCGAAACGTCAGCCATCGTTCAATAACATCAAAAACAACGACAACGAAGATCTGTACCAACCTCGCGTCAGCTTAAGAAGATCATTTTATAAGATCACATAGAGAAAAAAAAATTTGAGGTATTTTCATCTTGTGTTAATCTACTGAAAGGGAGAAAGAAGAATAGAGTATTACTCAAGGCAAGAAATTGCGCCCAATTGCAGATTCCAAAGAGCTTTTCCTTTTTTGCAGTCAAAACAAGTACGCCTCACATTCGACAATTTTGATATCGAAGTAGTACAAAATGACGAGTGTTCTTATGACAATGTTGCCGTATACGAGTCGTATGTCAGCCCAACGGAACACGGCAATCTACTGGGAAGGTGAGTGAGTCGCCGAATTGACGTGTTTCTGGAGCACCCTGCGAACCGTTTCATATCGGTCATTGGTCGTTGGGTACAAAAAAAATCACGCCAACCTGGAATTTTAATTCACTCAACAACGAAAAGCGTTTGCTGTTTCATCGAAAATCTACGCACAGTATCACTCCGGCTAGGCAATAATTTTGCAGTCATCTGTTCTCATTTAATTTTTCTCACATTACCTCTCTCAAGTCCAAAGCAGGTCATAAATCGAGTGATCTATCTTTTTTAGGGTTTGGCGTAGCTCGTGTGAAAACATTATCGTTTTCAGATTTTGTGGAACAATGCTGCCACCAACACTTTTATCCGGATCATACAAAATGGCTGTTGTGTTCAATTCAGATCGCTCCATTGCTGGAAATGGCTTTTCGGCAAGGTTGTGCTTAACTTTTGCCTTCTTTTTTTTTAAAGAAAATGCTTAGATAGATTCTTTGCACTACTTGTGTGAGCTCAGTAGGATTTCTTCCTATTGAGGTGTATTTAACTCCCACGACCGACTTTCTATTAACCTCGGCATTGATCAAGTAATTCTTCGCATTCTTGTTGAGCAAACGCGAGGTGTTATTTTTATTCTTTATTCACGAATAAGGTGACGTTTCGGCGGATTTCGCCTTCATCAGAGCCTGGAGAGGTCAAGTGGGCAGCAATCTATTCGGCCAAACACCTCCATAACCAAACAAAGAAAACACTAAACCAAGATTTCAATCACATTGTACACAGAGTCTTTGCACACTCACTGCTTTCTAGGAGGCTTCCACTGAGTGTGTCCCGTCAAGACCAACCGCATAGAATTCACATGGAAGCGTAATGTGCCCCTCCCATCAGAATAACAGTCTTATATATGTTTGACCGAATAGATTGCTGTCAACTTGACCTTTCCAGGCTCCGAGGTGTACCTAGTTCACGGGCAAGTATATTTCTCACGTATTTTTATGATGGTCCTGCCTGGGTGTTCATGGTTACATTTAGAAGTTCCTGATTCGTGTGGAATGAGAATTCCGAATTTGTTTCTAGCCTAGTTCATTCTACAAAGAACAGGTCAGGCTGAAGGGTTACGCTGTACGGCGAATTTGCTGCAATCTTCAGATTCGAAGGCGTTGATACGGCCAACGATTGTGATAGAACCTACACCGCACCGAGCGGGGAAATTGTCTTTGATGGCAGTCAAGGCCGATATTCACAATGCGACTTTCATATTTCGGTGAGTGCACACTATATTTTGAGTCAAAACCTATAAGCGAGTGGCTTCACCTCTTGAGTAGTCGTCGCCACCGCTGCGTGCCGATTTCGATTTCAGCGCTCGCTGATTACAAATGTGTCCTTCATGTGTTTCTTAGTAAGCGAGCAAAATTTATCACTTTTTCCAGTCAATTCGTAAAGCGATTAAGTCAAGTCAAACTGTTTAAATGCGATTCTTTTAGCTACGATTGACGGGGTAGTTCTAAAGAAAAGATAAAACTTGAAAAACGTTAAAGTTGTGGGTACCTGTATCATTGCTGTTAGCATTGCTGACGATGTTTCTTCCAGGTGATTTCAACTGCTCGTGTTGTATTAACAATGAACAACATGAGCATACCATGCATGAAGTCTCAATTATACTTAAGGTGAGGAAAACTTAATAAAATGCAGCAGAGATGATGGAGCTACCCAGCTACGGGAGAGAAAAATGTGAAGTTTGGTTAAAAAAAAGCTCGTATCGCATAAAAATCAGTAGGAGGGGCAAATTGGAGGTAGTTCGTGGTGTCTGCGACGTCGCCTCTTGGGGATCGTCTGCGAACTGCAAATGAGGATGCTCAGCTTTTGCAGTTTTTCTTTCCCACTGTAAATACAAACGTAGGGCGCATATAAAGCAGTGGTTAGAGGCGTTTTGCGTTACACATGGGACCAATTCCGCACCCCATGCTCACCAAGCCCTCCGTCGGCCCGAGGTCGGCAAATTGGTCCCAGACTGTCTAGGAGGATAGCAGCACTGGCTCGATCAACGGTAGGCAACGAAGAATCATTGCATCTGCCAGATATGCATTCAATGGCCTTCAACGATGCTTAATGAAGCCGAATGCATAGCGCCTCCTTCACGGATTGATCAATGTGGAGAGCTTCATTTTTTTAGAGGTTCAAATATAGGTATTGCTAAATTCTTTTGAATTTTTTGTATTATTGTCAATCATCGATTTTTTTGCGATAGGTAGCCACAGATAGCTAGCCGACTCCGCTATGGAATAGTTTTACTATCATATGAGGTTCCAGAAGATATTGTTGAGCCCCTTTAGCACTTTTGGTAGAGGTTAAATTCCGCCGTGCTTTCTATACACCGTGCACACCCATGTTTCCTCAACGACGAATTGCCGTGGACCATTGAAGAAGGTTAATTCACTAATGCATTAAAAAAAATTTCGAAATCTGCTCCAGAAATGGTGCCACGGACCAGTCTCCCGGCTTCTCGTCGCTCAACACCGAATCGTCAGTGTGTGACGAGTATCCTATGCCAATTCTACGATCACACGGCAGTCGAGTTCTGATTAGATTGCAAACAACAGATTCTTCCACAACACATTTCAATATCAGCTACGAACAAATAGTTTCATGCAAGTTTATTAATTTATTGATTCTCCTTTACTCAATATAATCTGTTAATTGAGAAGAGCCGTTATGAGTTGTGTCATCCAAGGATTATGGGCTTCTTTATCCAGTCAAGTTTTTAGGGTTCTAAAGATGGCTTAGTTAAAGTGACCTTGATTTCTCATCACAGATTATTGACACACATTGAAGGGATTTCTACTACCGGGTGGGTAAGACCGCTAGATTAACTCTTTCACGACCATGCTCATTGTATTCAATATGTACGCTTCCATACGTCTCAGGATTGAGTACATCTTGATTTCAATGCGCATCTCAATAGTGATGCGCCGCCATCCGATAGGCCTGCCACGCGAAAATGGGCGCGTTCGTGAGAGTGTTAACGAAAATTATGCGCGTAATCGCCTTCTTTGATGCAGGATTCTTAAAGAAGTAAAATCCGTTCTTAGAAGGAGCCACATCGGTTGTCACACATCGCAAATAGTTATTTGTGTTTATAGCTTGTGGAGGTCATGTCGAAGGTATTTCCGGTTCCATTGCCACGCCACAGTATCCTCTAAAGGATTCACGAAGCCTCGATTGCTCGTGGACAATAGCTGTGGCACTTGGTGGATTTTTCTCGCATAAAATAAATGTTTAAAGAAATGAAAATCCGTTCTTAAGGTAATCGTGTACGGTTTGCTCTGATGAATATTGATGACTTGAAGTCAAGTGATGACAATGGTTTTTGTGGGATGTTTGCTGCAAATCGCCTTGATGTAAGTTAAGCATTGTTTAGAGACCATGCATCATTCCTTAACCTAAGCGGGATTGGGCGAGTATAAGTGGAAAATAATGAAAAAGGGCCAAATTTTTACAGTTTTGATCGTTCCGGTCCTGTTTGTGGAATGCTTGCAGTGTTTTCATGTCCGCTAGGATTATTCGGGTTTTCTATTTATTCGTTTTCAGGTTCTCGACCGTCCGCACAGTGATGCGCGTATAATGCGACGATATTGTCGTAAAGTGTTGGGAGCAGAGCCATTGACGTCGAATGACCATGAAATCGCAATACGATACAAACAACATGGTGGTCCGATGACCGGTCCGCTCTACGGATTCATGGCTCATTTCACTACCGGTAGGAAGTAGACCACAAGGAAATTTGAAAATGTACAATTTTCCAGCAATAGAGGTTTTCATACCTAAAAGATGCTGAGATATCAGCGAATCGCCGAGCCTCACTTGGGCTTCAAACCCTCGATTAGTCACCAACCGAGGCTCGCAGTTTGCCTTTTCTCAACTAGTTTTTTACTTTGATGCTGTTATCAGCAACAACCCGTCAACCAGTCAATCTGAGAGCCTATGTTGGTGTGGTGCGTTATCTTCGTATAGGGTGTAATCGCAGTTTCAAAGCCCACCCAAGGTTCCGAGTTTAGCTCAGACCTCGGCATTTGCAAAGTTGGATTTTAAGTACTGCCCTAATATGAAGAAGAAATGGGCAATAAATAAAAAACTGGAACATTATTCGTACTTTATTTATCGTTATTATTCGAGGAATGTACTGTCTTAGGTGAATAGCGCTCCGAAGTGCACTGGTTTCAATGCGTACTGCCAAAGCTTCACTTTTACATGACTTTTGAAACTCGGAGAAGCATATCTCAGCTTATAGTGAGCTATGTCAGTTCAAATAAAAGCCATTGGATTTTGAAAATTTAGTTAATATGGTCAACTCTTTTTATTTATTTTTATAGTACTTCAAGGTTAGGGTAAAGGGCGCGTATGGCACAGTGGTAGGAGTCGCCCAGCAACACACATTGGGAATCGATCACCGCGCGCATGGCCCACGAAGCCTTTCATCCCTTGGGAGTTGGCAAATTGCTACCAGACTTGTCTGGGAACATAGCAGCACCGGCTCGATGCATCGGTAGGCCACCACGAGTCATTGTAAAGGCCAGATATGCATTCAATTACCTCAAACGATGCTTGGTGAAGGCAAATGCATGGCGCATCCCTCAGGGATTGGTCAACGCCGAGAGCTTCATTCTTTACTTTTAATTTAAGGTCGCACATTATATTAAAAAAGAAGTTAAGCTTCATAATAAATTTCTTCTCTATTATTGCTATGTTCGCACATTAAAGTTTTCCAGCTGGCTGACACACAGCATTACGCCAAAATGCTTAAGTAAGCAACTCACCCAAAGGCATAATTATGCCATGATTTTGATCAGTATGATATTTTTACCATATTCAAGTGATCATCGTATGGTTTCAGTTTGTACTGATATTGTACTGACCGACTTTACGGGGTCAATTCAATCACCCGGATATCCAAGCAAAGTCTGGACCAACCAATACTGCTCGTGGACAATTTCGGTAACCATTGGCATATAGTTGATTATGAAAATTTTGGTAGCCACACTAAGTAGTTTTCTTTCCGCCTAGGCTCCACTCGGAAATCGAATTCAACTCAACTTCCATGATTTTGTCGTTGAAAAGAAATACAGATATGGCGGTATACCTGGCAAATGTTCAGAGAATTGGCTTAAGGTAGGCTCATTTCTTTTTTAATAAATTGGACTTTTGAGGACTGAACTTTTTCAGTTTGGTGAAGGTGAAGTGGCCGAAGCGACTGTGAAAATTGGCAACTACATCAATGAGACGAATGATTTGACAGTAACCTGCTCGGATGTAGTAAAGCCGATAATGGTGAAGGTACTGTAAGAAAAAGACATTTAATTGCGGTGTAACTGCTGACGAGGGGCTAGTGGCACGATTTTAGTGATACCGTTCATCATGATCACTGTGGTTGTTCGACACCGCACCTGGATTAGCAAGCTTCCCTTCATTCTGGGGTCGGAAAATTGGTACTACATTTGTTCTGGATAAGCCAACTCCTTGGAATTCACGCGGCAGCCCTCTTACATGGATATGCCAGGACTCAATGGATAATCGATTCAAGGAGCATCCAACGACGTTCATAACGAAGACGACAATCTTCGCTCCTTTGGCTGATGGCTTTGGTGGCATGACGACCAAGCTCGTAGACGTACGGGCAGTGTGATCCGAACGAAGAAAGCCGCCAAAAGCCAGAAGGCCAGCCGTACTGGTGACAAAAAGAAGAAGCACCGTCGGAAGGAGAGCTACTCCGTCTACATCTACCGAGGATGACAATCTTCAAACCATAGCCAAACCCACACGTAAAAAGTTCGAAAGCCTTCGTGGATGATCCATGCAGGGAAACGAATCGAATCCAAAAAGTGGTGCGATCCGCACCGTAGATGTGAGGGCAAGTCATTTAAATTAAGATAAATGTGTAATGTAATTGCGGACAAGAAGAGATCTTGGAGCTGGAGAGAGGAGCGAAGAATCAGAGGTCTCGAATATCCGATGAGAAGGAAATGGACAATGGCCTTCCCATTTAGGGATTTTCTTGTTATTCTTGGCCTGCCTACAATGTTCTGACTGCAAAATGGAAGAGTTTGACTTTCGTAAAAATACGCTGCTTTTTAGTTGAAATCGAAAGAATTTTTATTGTCCCATTTGAGAACGCAAAGCGAAAGATATGGCTTAGCGTTTAGTCCCGGAGCCTTGAATACGTTCATATTTATCCGTGAATATTCACAATAGCGCTCATAAAGGGCAATCGTTCCTACTTCTACAGCAGTGAGAAAGAATCAGTGCGAAAAGTTGTAGAAATTGCACTGTACAGTATCGTTATGGCATATGCTATAGTTTGATTCTATTTTAGAGTAAAGACAATGTTCTACATATCGCATATCAATCAAAAAAGCAAGAGCAAAATCACTTTTGGTTGACATGGACCACCCTCGGTAAGTTCCGCTCACAGATTTCTTCACAGACGACTTAAGGCGAATCGCTTCTACCGAGTTTTCCTGTCAGGTTGCGGAGGAACTCTAATCACTCCAATGAATATCACGGCGAATTTGAACCGATTATACCGCGACGCTGTACTGGTGGAGTGCTCATGGCAGATCAAGGTGATTCTTTTCATGTAATTGATCATTACAAAGAAATGGGAAAAATAAACTTCCATTTTTGATGTCACGATCTTGACGACCCATAAGCTTTATGTAGCTAAAAAACGCTAGGTCGTTACCCATTTGACTGTTCATTTCAGTCCTCATATTAGTAATTCTGTTTTTTTTTCTGTTATATCGATTGTCATCAGAAAGAACTCATTCTGGGTCCTAAATGATTTTTGCCATACTCAAAAGTTTTTTTTAAAAAAGACAATGGTGTCTCATTAATGTGTTTCATATGAGCCTAAGATCAGTAATTATTAGCGGTTCTAATCTGTGTTTAAATGAGAAAAAGACTTTTTCAACAAGGACATCGTAAGGAAACACCAATAGCGTCGATTCATAGTGAATTTCTCTTCTCAAGTTTTCGGGGCTTTTTTCGGAAGGAAAAGTGAACCCAGATATTTTTTTGCACGAAATAATTAGTTGTATCCAGCCTTCTGTTTTCAGGCTCCTGTAGGTAAACGCGTCCTCTTGAATGTTGACACATTGGCTGTCTTCCAAAAAATCGATGTCAAGTGTCAGTACACCGACGGCAGTGAAGACTTTATCGGAATGGCGGTCGGTGACAGGCGGAAGTACTTTCACGCTTACAGTTTAATTCTTCCTTTTAAATGGCCGAATAAGCAAAACTGCTTTCCGTTTGGGAAATGTCTCGTGAGCTGTGCTGATTTCGCACTTTAGTCTAAAAATCTTTTCTAATACTCGGTTGAGAGCTTTTCATATAGCGTAATCCAGAACCCAATATAATATTAGATTGAGAATTTTCTTAGAAAACAGTCTGCGAATACGTAACTTCTTAGTGTCGTCGGATACCGTAACGCCGTTTCGTAAATGGACTACGGATTGACGGAGCATAGCTGTAAAGCTTCGTCAGAGATATTTCTTCCATCGATTCTATTAAAAATACTTTAAACTTTCAGATCTTTTCGGGTAGTTCGAATCGATCCGGTTATCCACAGTATACGATTTGCACCAGTGCGAAAAACTTCACCTACAAATCGCATACGAACGAATTATTTTTGATGTTAAAGGTTTGCATTATTGGATTATTACAACTGCCACCGACCACCGTGCCAGGAGTGAACAGTGTTAAATTCGGTGAACTACATGTTATTTGCTTATTTTTTGGGATTTTTGTTACTAGCAATACGGAAACATAATCTGTTTTTTCCTTTGACACGTGTAGCCCTGTGGTTAGAAGCGTGCTTTAATACACCAATGCTCACTGATTCAACTCAGAGCAAACCCAGCTACCATGCGTCCAGAGCCTTGGCTAGAAAGATAAGAACACCGATTTGAAATATTACAAGAGTTCTAGAAGTTATTTCATGGACCAAATATTCTTTCAGTCTGATGTGCGATGTTACGAATAGACAAAGCGAAGGACCCGGATGGTGTAGTGGTGAAGTGCGCTGCTCCCCGGTAAGGACAACAGCGCGTGTTCGTTCTCCACTGCATACACCTGTGATCCGGAGTTTTGCAAATATCTCAGCATTTCATACGAGCTGCGAATAGAGGCAAATCATGAGGCATCTTTAAGGGTTTAATCAAAGTGACGGTGATACTATAGGTTGAGCGTGCTGGGAGGCATAACCTTCTCTGACAGTGCGCGCTCGTTATTAGAATTGGGACCGAGTTTCTCACCATCTGAACCCATTTCCAAAGTAACCTTGCGTAGGGTCGCATGTAGTTTACATGAACTCCAAGATAGATTCCGCAAAAAAGCAAGGGATGAAGCACAAAATAGGCACTAGCAACAAAAAGTAGGGGCAACACCAGTGCCACCATTTCCTCAACCGTTCTTTAGACACAAGAGCCCATTAATAAAGTTTATGTTAAATTTCGGATGTTTACGAATGAAACTTTCAAAGTCCTTAATCACTATCGCGCTAAAAGATACTGCTCCAACCTCACTGAAATACAAAAACGTGGTATGCGAGAGGTACGAGAGCTGATAAGATCAAAAAACATAAGACTATCGGTTAGTGATAAGTGTGGAGAGTTTGTTGTAATTCCCCATCAGTTAGATGTTCAGATAACGGAAAAGCACCTTGAAGATGCTTCCCTTTATCGTCCGTCGTCTGAGAAGGAATCTAAAAGTTAATACCGAAAGTTAAACAACGAATGGGTTAAAGTGGCAAGAGCGGCTGGGTTAAAACCATCAGTTATCTATCATCTCAAAATCGACTTACCAACATGTCCCGTCCTGTACTTACTTATCAAAGCCCATAAGTTAGTATCCAGCGATGATCTCGTGTCTATCGATCCATCGCTATTTAAGGTTAGACCTATCATTAGCTGTGTGGGCGGGCCGACGGATAAAATAATTTGGTTAATAACCTTAATACTTACTCAGTTGTTGAAGTACATTCTAGCTCATCTAACCAACACCCAAATGTTCCTGGATCGTCTACGTAACGTGCGACCCAACAACGCGCACGTGGTGGAGTCCTTCGACGTCACTGCCCTCTATACGAACGTGTCGAATGACTCCGCTATGCAAGCCATCCGCGAGCTTCTTGTACAACACGAAGGAGCAATAAACATGTACGGCTTCTCAAATCAGCAGTTGATGACACTCTTAAAGGAGTGCCTGAACTGCTCAATCTTCAGATGGTCTGGGAGGTATTACGCACAAATGAGAGGGCTAGCAATGGGACAACGACTGGCACCAAGTCTTGCCATTGCATTCATGTCTAAAGTGGAAACCCCAGTAATCGACCTCGGTTCGCTACTCTACTGTAGATACATAGATGACTGCTTGGTCATTTGTTCAACGCAAGAAGAAATCGACAGATATTTTGAGTTGTTGAACACACAGTCAAAGTATATTAAATTCACCCGAGAGAAACCAAAAGAAGACTGGCTTCCATTTCTGAACGTGCAAATTAGCCTATCAGAAAACGGCTACATTACGAAGTGGTATCGAAAGCCAAGTAGTAAAAACATCCTAGTTCATTACCTCTCCTCTCATCTCTTTCACACGAAAAGGGCGCTTGTGAGAAACATGTATCGAACAGCTACCAGCGTGTGCACAGGAAGACAGCAGAGAGAGGAGTTCCGGAACTTGGCGCGGCAAATAGCCATTTTTAATGGCTACGAAACTGTAGCTCGAGATAGCTGTAAAGGAAACCACAGGTGCCCCAACGATAACTCTAGCGACAACAAGTTTCCGTTTATACTGCCCTTCATTTCAAATGAAGTAAGTGCAGCTATAAAACGCTGTTTAATAAGGGCCAGTCTAGAGAATTCGGTAACGATAATCGAAATACCACCGAGTAATCTAAGGCGCCAGCTAGTTCGTAACCGCCTATACGACCGTCTATGTGCAGCGCAAAATTGCATAATTTGCCCCAATGGTAGAGAAGGTGATTGCATGAGTTCGGGTACAGTCTATCTGATCTCTTGTAAGGCGTGCGGGGACGAATACGTTGGCGAAACGGGTAGACCACTCTGCGTACGTGTAAAAGAACACCTACTCGGCAAACGTAAGCTAAGTACTCCACTAGGTACGCATAGCACGCAGAAACATAACGGAGAAGATTTTGAAGTAAGAGTTACGATCCTCGCGCAAGAATCAAGAACACAAGCGCGCAAAACTCTTAGAGGCATTCTGGATTAATTCCAAGAATCCGAAAATGAACCGCAGGGAGGAATGCCTCGCTATCACGCGTGATATTGGGCAGTATATAAACCTGTTATTCTGATGGGAGGGGCACATTACGCTTCCATGTGAATTCTGTGCGATCGGTCTTCACGCGACATACTCAGTGGAAGACTCATAGAAAGCGGTGAGTATGCAGAGCTGTGTTAAATGTGATTGAAATCTTGGTTTAGCGTTTTCTTTGTTTGGTTATGGAGGTGTTTGGTCGAATGGATTGCTGTCAACTTGACCCTTCCAGGCTCTGAGGAAGGCGAAATCCGCCGAAACGTCAGCTTGTGCGTAAATAAAGAAATAACATAGCACCTTGTGTTTGCTGAACAGAAGTAGAAAGATACAAAGTGAAAGGGTTCATTC